AAAACGGTTGAATGTAGAATAATGTATCAAAGCTTAACATAAACATTTACAGAGGCGCTGGGATAATCCCAATTTCATGTTAGCTTTAGTTCATTTTTGAAATTCAAATTGCAACCGATATGTTAAATATGCTCAGGGAATACTGATGGTCGTCTGCTGTAGATTATTCTTTAATTAAAGAGTTGGTAAAATATGTGGGGGCTCGTTTGAATTTCAATAGTAAATAGAACGCACATAGGACAAAATAAACCTTTTGAAAAAGATAATTAATAACTTCAAAATAAATAATAACAAAATATAAAATATTTCAAAAATGAAAAGTAATGAATAATGACATATCGTAATAGTTTTCAAAGAAAACTAGCTTTATAATCGTTCAAGCATACACTAATCCGGTATCCGGCGAGGTTCAAGGTTTTTTTTCCTCTCAAAATTAAATTAGTTCTTTGATTTGATATATTAGTAAGTCTGAACTTTGGAAGTTTGCCTTGGCGCAATTACATCAACTGGATCGTTGCTCAGAGTTCATTTCTTTTCCGGGTCAAGTGACTAAGTTGTGAAATTAATAATACTTAAAGAACACTTGCATACCTAATTGAGGTATTTAGCGTAGGAAACTTAACCTTTTTTCCGGCAATAAATTAAAGTATAATAAAATATAAACGTCTCTATCAGAATGTTTTCATCCAAACCAGTAACCTAGGCGGTTCTTGCTCTGTCATTGGATTACGATAGGTTTTTGTTTTTTGTATATTATATTGTCATCAGTGTTCAAATACGATTGTGACACAACTAATAGTTTGGGCTGATAATAATCATTAACTGTTATACCGTTGTCCTAATTATCTGATTTGCGGTTATTTTAAGGTACAATATGTTATGTTTGCTTACTGTATGCGCTGGAAATAATTTTTCAAGGCCGATTTGTTGAATGTATTCTAAGTGTAATCATTTTGTTTAAATTGTCATTGTTCCTAAGTACATCTGGCTGTTTATTATAAAAACTTGTTTTGAAATATGTTACATTTTTGTTTGCATTTGCTTTGTGCAAAGGGGCCATGTGTTACATAAGTAATATGAAAATTACATACAATTTTAGTGAGACCAGCATTGAAGTGTAACAGTGAGTGATGAAAAAGCAGATTAAAACTTTTAATGAAAATACATAAAATATTATCTTTTTATTTCAATTAATACGTTATTCGATTTGTTTCAGTTGATATTCGTTATTTAATTTAATGTTATCCAACTTGAATGCTAATTATCGTACGGTAAATTTGAATCTTTTATTTATTGATAAAAAGTGAGGTCAACCGCCATTCGCTAATGAATCACATTCGGCACGGCCAAAAGTATCTATATCGAGTATAAACTAATGCACTTTTGTCTAACACCATAATCAGAATTAAACCAAATGAAAATCCGTCCAACTCTGAGAAAACATTATAACCAGGACCGGCTTGGGAAATGGCGAGGCAAAATGTAACTATTTCGCGAGACCCATTATTATTTATTATAAGGCAATTACAAATGGAATAGGGCAATTCCTTAAAAGAGTTTCAGAAGTGTAACACATTTTAATAATTGTATGACATAAAATTATAACATACTTTAAAGTTGTGAATCTTAAGTACGTCTCGTTTTACTCAAATAGTGTTGTAGAATTGTCCAATCGTTAAATTACACTATAAATCCTATTTTAGCATATTCTTTTGGCAATCAGTAATTTTGGTCTTATAAATTATTCACGCATTTGATTTATTAGTGTGGACATTAACATATTATTCCAATGAACAAATTATGAACTGGAGCATTAACTACAGCTGATAGCTCATTTTGACCACTTTGTGTAAAGACGTTGTGCGTAGCACAAAAGAAACGGACATTATGCGGTTAAATGTCAAATTTCATAAAAAGGCCCAATTTTAAATTAAATAAACGCATCAATTTGTTGGCAAACAAATTTTAATATTTTTTTATCAGAAATTGTCTTAGAAACATTTTGTAAACAATCAACTGCATTTGTTAGACATTTCATTTCTGAACAAAAATTAATAATGACATATTAAAAAATGTGTTAACATATTTTAATTTATTTGCCAAAAGTCATGTATCGCTTATTTGGTAACTTTTACGTATACCACCAACTGCAATCTTTCGATCCGGCTCTCTTGTTATATAGCAATGTATACTATAAAACAATTCAAATTGTTGATTTTAATAATATTATTTACTTAGATTTGGGAATAATACCGGACGGTTAATTGTTATAGATTATTTGTTTGTAATTTATCATTATTATCGTTATTAATGAGTTTCACGCATTAGACCAAAGTCACAATAATTAACCGCCGCTGTGCCCTTGACCTGCATCAAGTTTACCTTCGCACATAATATTTTTTTATTATTATTCAACAATGACGGTACATCCGTAACATCAAGCAAGTGCTCAGAAAACCGGTTTTTAACGTTAGGCTAAAAATATTTTCAATGGTACGCGAAACTGTTCTTATGTATAATACTTCATATAAATAGGACTTTTCCTGAGTAATCTGTCATTGGGAGCTCGACGTGGGAAAGAGAAAATTATTAACCCTTGAGATGAGGTACTAACGTTCACCGTATGTTCTATACATAATATATTGTTTAATTGTCGCAAAGTTGTAGGAAAAGCACAGTAAATAACCAACAGATAGAATGAACATAGTTTAATGTGCGCGACGAAGGTCTTCGCCGAACTCCAATGCTCTAATGTGTTGACAACAGTAGAATATCTCTATTAGGACTTCCTAACCAGTTTTCCAAACAAATCATTAAAATGGCGGGACACTAGAAAACGACAGTAAAATTAATTGTCTCCAAAGCCCAAACAAGACTATAATCTATAAACCAATAAGATAGTATTGCTAACCTTGACCTGGTAACACGGTGAACAGAAATAGTCACGTAATAATATTATATTTTAATTAAGTAATTTTGTTAATTCTATTTGTAAACATATTATTACCTTTAACCCTATAATAATATACTTAGGTATTTTATATTTTCTAACCGTCCATATTATTACACAATATTATGTTATATCACGCCTATTATTGTAATAATATGTTGTCTAATATTATATTATGTTTAGGGAATTGTTTTTTTTTAATATTCCAAAATTGTGTTTAATAGGTATTTCTTCTATTCGAGTAAATAAGTATTCTTTAATATGGTCGGTAAATCAATACAATTACCATATATCACCAACTCTCTGGACTTTAGACCAATTTATTACTTTTACATTAAATTATATTCTATAGATTTTATACTTTAATTGCCTTGTTCTAGATACCACTAAGCACTAGTAACTTATTTATTTATAAATATGTTATAGATTATAAAGGCCCAAAAAATAGCAATTTTTATTAAAAAAATAAATAAAATGTCCAACCATTCAAATCATTTATTATTTCTCAGTAAACATATTATAATAAAAAATAAATATATTTCTCATTCATTTTACTGTTAGTAAGTTAAAATGTATACATTAAGTTTTTTTTTTTTTTTTTTTTTTTTTTTTATTTATTAAAGAGTATTTACAATCTATGCTGCAAGGCATAATAAGCAAATAGTTACATTGTTATATATACAGAGAGAGGGAAAAAAAAATAAACAAATAGAAACGGTGATTTGATATGAGGAGGGAGGCTATCCAGTAATAGAACCCAACGTGATTTTTGTTCTAATTATTTTTAATTAGATTAATTTGAATTATTGTATTAACAGATCTCGACACCAATGTCTTCGGAGTCGGCGAGGTGGATTTCCGGGGAGTGAATTAGAAGCAAGTTGAGATATTAAAGGGTTAGAATGAGTGTGTAATTTGGAATGAAATTTTTTGTAGTGTTTTATGGCTAAGTGGTTTATTGGTTCTATTTTAAAGTCATTTTGAAGTGTGCAGTTTGATACATACCATGGGGCAGAAGAGATAATACGTAGAGTGATAGATTGGAAAGCTTGTAAGGTACGAAGTTGGGATGGTTTTGCACATCCCCAAATTTGGATTGCATATGCCCAAATAGGCCTTAATAGGGATTTGTATATAATAATTTTATTGTGGAATGGTAATTTTGATTTGAGGATTGGACGTAGTAAATGGAGTCTGCTGTTGAGAATTTTTCTTTTAGATTTAATGTGGGAGCCCCAAGTTAATCGTTTGTCGAGTGTGACACCAAGATATTTGACTTCCGAGGATATTGGAATAAGTATTCCTTGGAATTGGGGAGGGGGTGGAACAGATTTTTTTAGTGTGAAGGGAACGTACACAGATTTATCTGGATTAATTTTAATTCTCCAATTAGATGACCAGGAATCAATTAGATTTAAGTGAGTTTGAAGGAAATTGGAAGTAACTTCTGGATCATTTCCTGGGGAGAGTATTGCAGTGTCGTCTGCATAAGTAGCCATAATAGTGTTTGGTGTTTTTGGAATGTCAGCCGTAAAAACATTAAATAGATCAGGGGAGAGGTCACTGCCCTGGGGCACTCCTGCTTTAATTTGGTGGTATGGTGAAAAGGAATTACCATATCTGACTCTATAACTTCTATTTTCTAAGTAAGAACGAATTATTAAGTAATATGGGGCAGGTAGAAACAATTTGAGTTTGAAGAGTAGGCCTTCATGCCATACACGGTCAAAGGCCTGGGCCACATCCAAAAATACCCCTGGACAATATTGTTTTTTTTTCAAAAGAAGAACAAATTTGATCTGTTAGTCTGTGAATTTGGTGAACAGTCGAGTGATTGGATCTAAAGCCAAATTGGGAATTAGGAATTATACATTAAGTTATAAATGAAACTTTGAGATAATTTTCCAATTAGTTCATTAAAGCTGTTAATACGTCTATGATGAACTTAATGCGTTAGATTATGTTTATTTGATAAAAAAACAGTTTTATATCCCATTTTTAACTCCTAAAATATGGTATGACTGGGTGTTTTCATTATCAAGATGCGATTGCTAATATGGGATCTAATATTTAAAAATACGATTTGCTGATGTGACAAAATAAATAGTTTGATTTGATGTCTAAAATTATAATATTTATAGAAATAACAAATCAATTGTTATAATTTTAGTATCAATTAACAACTAAAAAAGTGATGCATCCACTTGTGCCAACCTGTCACAGTTGTGTTCTAATATAATTATAGAACATTATAACATACCATTATACTATACCCGTTCATTATTTTTATTATTATTTTTGCATTTTAAACATACATCAGAGTCTATAGATACAGGTTTTTTTTCTTATAAAACTATTTATTGTGTTCAAGGATAGATACTGTCATGTTTGTATCATCCGCCGAAGAAAGAGAAAAAAACAATTTAGATTACGTAGGAGACTTTTTAGAGTTACTTCCTAAGAATGACGTGTTCTGTCAGATTAAGTCGACTAATCTTCTTTTTGTTGCGAAAAGCCGCACCGGATTTTTTTTAACGGCCAAACAGCACAAGATAATATATTTTTCAGCGCCGTTTTTTTATGTATATATATATATATAACAAACTAAAACGTATATAATTTAATAATAAAACTGAACCCGTGAGATGTGCATTGCAATCTTTTATTCTCAGTTTTCGTGTTCAGCATACAATTGACCATTCACCGCGGTGTTGATGACATCATAAAACACTTTGAGGTCTACGACCCTTATTTGTATTGCTCGCACACGCCTATTGAAATATAATTGTGACGGTTGGTCGTAGCACAGTATTAATAAATTATACATTAAATAATATAGTAGGTATAATAGATAATATGTTACCGTTCGCAATAGTACAAGAAGATTTGTATTCTTCTCGCTGAATCCAAATCAGATTTCGTGCAGCGCGTTTTTTTGTTTTCTGAAACAGCTTTTAAGTTGTGAAAAATTCGGTTTTGTACTATTTGCAACAAATTGTGGCGACTGCTTAAAATAAAAATTGTAATTATTTTTTTTAGCTTTTACCTCGTAGCTATCTAGCTACGAGGTAATATTATTGCGGCCATCAGCCTGTTAAATGTATATAGAATTATTATTTATTGGTTAAGGTGCGCCCTACATATTTTTCGGATTATTTCGGACAAGACATGTGAAACTTTTGAATTACTACTACCGCAACACCTCTGTACGACCGGAAGATTAATGATTCTGCGATTAGTGTGTTGAGTAACTGTGTTGTTATTTCTAATGATTTTGACCGACTCATTGAGTATCGCTCCTGGTAGGGGTTGTAGAATATAATATTTTTCTCCACCAGTGCCACCTGACCAGAAAAACGAGATTAGAGATAAAACATTCGATATCAAAAAGCACCTATATATAATACCTATATAATTAAGTCTAAATCTGAAATCAAAATAGAATTTCATGGCGTAAATAAAATATTAAACATGTATGATGCATTAAAAAAAATATGTGTCGCGACTTCTAAGACTTTTTAAAACCAGCTTAGATTTTTTTAAAGAGCCTATCACGCTACATTAAAATAAAATATTGGAGGCTAAAACGTTACAATTACTCATTAGTTTGCGACATTCTTGGTATTGTAACTGGAATTAACAAACAATTGAGTTACATATTATTAATCTTTTTCGTCGCCGGGGTTCGCGAAAGGTTGTAACTTGTGTGGTAATTTAAAAATAATAGTTTAGTATTGTTTCACTGGAAATTTATTTGACGAACAAAACAGGTGATGAAAAAACCTTACAGCTTATGGAAAATTCGTTTATTAACGTTGAAATGTTTAATTTTCTCAACTCATTTAATATTTTTTAATTAACCTATTTTTTTTAACGCGTTATCAATTGCTGGCATAACGCTGGGCCGTAAAGACTGATCGCCGTGTTATTAAAAAAGGACTCGTGGGAAATGATGATGAGTAATATAATAAAATATAATTTTTAAGTCAGAACGGTGTAACCTGCTTTCATGCTACTTTTTATGGCATTGCGCGTTATTCATTTGTCGGTATAAAGCTACTATTGTTAGGTACCAAAATTAATGATAAGTATAAAAAAATGACCACAATTCGATTGTACTAAACCAAAAAAAAAAAAACAAAAATTATAAAAAGTTTGCTTAGTTACGATTTTTCTCATAATAATTGCACAATATTCAAGCTCATACTGAAAATTACTAATTATTTAGGAAATGTTTAAAATACAAATATTCTTCTTGTACTATTAGGTAAGTATTTTTGCTGGATTCCGGTTGATAATACAAAAATGAGCATTTAAAATTATATTCAAGATATAATAATATAAGCGTAATGGAGGTCGTTTTTAGTTATTACTAATACCTTATGCTACTCAATTGGTTTTTAAAGCAGTTTTATGAAGGTTTCTGAGATATTTTATTAAAAAATTAAAAAAAAAAACCGTAATACATTGTCGACATTGAAACGTATCTTTGACAAATACTTTGCTCATAAATATTAAAAATGTTGTAAAAAAAATTATACTTCTTGCATTTATATATTAATAGGATATTGTAATATGGCGTTAATTGTAAATGTATTCACACAGCTCTTAATGTTTATAGTTGTATTAAAGCATTATTATTTTTCCTTTTGAATAATATTATTAAATACTTATTGTTAATACAGCATTAGGAATTTTAATGAGAGTTTGAAATGTTAATTTTTAGTTTATTATATTTATGCATATAATAATAATTTTATATTTTATAATCAAAAACAAAAAAATTTACAACAATAATAATATGAGTAATTTATTAAAATGTTCATTGTTTCAAGAGTGGCGGCGTTTAACGAATGGAAAACTGTGCATGTTTATTATTTACGATGATCTGTCATTTTCAAAAAGTACACATCGCGTGCGTGATGATACATTATACTTGCACTGTTGTAGTACTTAACCATACAGCGAGACACTTCATAATACGAATGTATGCTCTAAGAATGTCCAAATGAAATGATATCCATTTGAAATTAATACAGCGCGAGTGGTTACATAATATTTATGATACTATTTGCTATAGCAATAAATAATATTTTAAATCTCGAATTTGTAATCCCAAATTCTATGTAGTCTATAGAAATACCGAGTACTCTAAGAGTACTTTTGCACGGAAATCAAAAGAAAGATTTATTCAACATGAATACAATTTATCTAATTATTATATCATTATAATTATTTCTAGTCTATAGCCAATAACAATATGGTAAAATGTTTGAGATATCGGTTAAAACGTATTGGCCATCAAACGAGAGTAGTTTTATTAAACTTTATTCGATTTGTTTTAATTGATGCTCGTTGTGTAATTTAATTTTGCCAAATCTGCTATCAATTTAAAAATTAGATACGGCTTAATCGTTCATACAGTTGACAGTTAAACAAAAGCGTCCTAAATCGTAATTACATTTTTTTAACTTGTTTCTGAATGTACCCACTTGAAGTTGTCTCTAGTTTCACTCTGAGATACAACATAAGATTACGAAGTGTTTTACGGTGAGTGTTTTTGTCACGTGTTCGGTATAAAAAAAAAATGTTATTTTCAGTGAAATTAGGTTAGGTTAGATTAGAAAATATTTTGTTTATAGAACAATAACGCCTAAATGTTGTGGGAGTATTTGTTATTTTTATGAGGCCAAAGAGCTTTCGAAAGAACATTAAACACACACAATGGTTGTTTCAAATTTGGTTTATTTTGTATCTATCAATGTAAAAACAACCATTACAATTCTGGCCGTTAAAACGGAAATAATATAGTGTACTTATTGTTTAGGATGTGATTTTAATTTCAATGTCCGTCGCTGGATATTCATATAAAAAGTCAGTTAAGTTGTTGTTAGAAAACGTGGTTTTCTGCGGCTGCAACTAGCTTACTTGGAAGTTTATGTGCAGTCGGTTTTGATTTAACTAGATAAACCTCGAACAATTTCTGTTAGAGATTTTGTTTGTGTCTTTTTCCGATAAGTAAATCATAAATTATTTTCACCATTAAAGACATTCAGAAATTAATTGAACATTCTGTGTATTAAAAACAGTATAAATAGTCTACACTCTACATCATCGTCATGATAAAATTAATGTTATTACTTACCTAAGTAAATTATGTACTTTCACACTATTCATGCAAACATCACATAGGGTGTCCAACAACCGAAACACCTCAAGGCCATGCAGCTTTTTAAATTTGGGTTTTAAAGTATACACTTAATTTTTATTACTAAAATTATTTGTGTCTTTTGCTGCGCCCCCTGTGCAGTCACAGTAATTCCGACTTAAGTTTCAAAAGTGAATCCTTGTGTTTGACTTCAACGATTAGTAAAAAAACAGAAGTTTGTAGTTTGTCGAACTATTCAAATATTTATTTTGTTATGTTATTCTTTTGTGTTTAAATGGTCTCGATGCAAACAATATCCTCATCATATGGTAGTAAACTGCCAAAAATCATCCTACACCAAAACCCAAAAACCGTTTAGTCTATAATTATAACATATTATAATAACACCTCTACCATAGTACCGTATAATAATTGTTTTTGCACAGACTTTTTTTTTGTTTTTTATGTATGTATAAACGCAACAATTATTTATACTTACTTTTTGGAACAAAAAAATAAACCGAAATACATCTATTTTGTTGAAAAATATTTTCGCTGAACTCAAACAATATGTTTTAGCACGTAAAATTAATTTTTTAAATTTGTAAAGCCATAATAGTTATGAACAACTTAAAAAAACAAACATTAAAATTTTCGCATTTTTTTTTGTGTATGACGTATGTAATTAAAAATTTCACATAAGTTCTGAAATCAAATTAACTAAATAAAAAAAAAAATTATTCACACTTACAGAACATGCAGAAAATCCCCCAAAAATTGTGTTTTTAGCTGGTTGCGGAACATTGAGGTTGGAAAATATATATATTTGAATTCCTGTTCATAAATCGTGTTGTGTAGTACAATCGTAGTAAAGGAACACAACTATTTTCTTTCATCGATTATTAGTTAACATGTAAAATACAACATCCAGGTTTAAAAGCTTGTTTTTTTATTAACTCAACCGAGTAGGCTATTTTAATACTATAAGCTTTCGTAAAGCTCGTTGGTTAACCTATATTATGTGATTCCTGTTGCGGTTATAACTGTATACAGTATACTATATGAATAGGCATGTCCTTGCTTACTCCCTATATCCTTATTTATAATGCAACAATGCCGATATTTCTTATTCATGATATTATATACGTTACGTTTGCATGTTAAATCTGAATGATCGCCTGATGCTTGCACAGTTTGAACACAACAGCGAAGGCATAAATCCCCCATTGGACGTCAAGGCGATGATTTGTCTGGGATTTTAGATTTCCATTGCGTGACGGGGGTGGGGGGGATGAACGTTATACATGTTTGAACTTACAATGATATAATAGTAATATCAGTGTATACATGTATATTTATAAGTATAAAGAACTATAGTGTTGCACACATATGCAATTTATTTTACCATCTCGTGACATAACGGAAACGCGCTTGGCCGCCTCGTTTTATTGCCGGCGTAGTCCGTTTCGAGGCCAAACTTGGTATTATGTTTATGGATAGGTATAATGGCATAATACCTGTTCAATATAATAATAATAATAATAATAATATCAACAAAAAAAGTATAAATAATTCGTTGAAAACAGTGCAGCGTAATTAATATAATTAATTTTATAATATTAAAATTCCGAGAGGATTTTATTTAGACCCAACCCCAATTTTTATTACTGGTGGTTATGCTATAGTCTAAACATTACATTCAGGGCTAATTAAAAATTTGACGGGTAAACATTTTCGTGAATGATACATTTAGAAAATGTATCATTTACCAATTTTCACGTAAAAAACACTTACTTGTAAATTGAAATATATAGGTTAGCTTCATTAATAACCTATGTACAGTAAAGGGTAAATTGACTTTGCTTTTCATTCAATAAGAAAATAAATAATAATTACTCTTGTGGGTATCATCTTTTTTCGAGTTATGTCGACGACTTGATAAAGATTTATATGTTCCAACTATCTTTATATAAAGACTCAGAATCCGAGAGGATTTAGCTCATTACTCGTTGGTGCATTCTCTATTGCTTCTGTTAGTCAGTATTGCATACAAATATGTCCGCGCAAAGACCATTAATATATATACTTTTTACGGGACAGAATCTGCACTCGTCTAACTTAATTTCACTAGAAATTGCATATTTTATATCTCTTGGCTTCTATGGTCTCCAATTTAAATGCCAAATTTTGGGTTTATTCCTATCAAGATCGTCTACTGAATATACAATCTACGACGCAATCACGCTATCATTTTATGCCATTTATAGGCAGACACAGTATGTACCTTGAAAGCCTACTTTGTTCGCGGATATAAAAACATACAATCTATTGACTGTACAAACAGATTGTATGACGTATGTATCTAATTAATTTCAGAATATTTGAAAATAAACCCTAGCGAAAATAGGGTTGACAGCGACTATATATAATAATGTTATCTGAAGACGGATCTTACGTTTGAACCGACCAAAAGTTTGTAATTAATTCAATTTAATTTAAGATTATCTTCACGCTCGTCTTTTTGAAACTTATTATAAATCACTGAAAATTGGTTTATTAATCATTTATTGTCTAAACTAGGAACTATTATTAATATTTGTGTAATTTTAATTGTGTTAATGAAATATGTTTTTTAATAAAATAACATAATAAAACATCAACGATGAGCCAACACCGAAAAAATATTAAATTTTTCTTATGAATGTATCAAAACTTTCATAGATTGAATTATTAGTTTAATCATTTTCGGATCTAGCCATGTTGTAAAATTTTCTTGTTGGTTGGTTATAAAACGTGGCTTTTTTTCTTTTTAGATAAGAGCTGTTTATGACGGAAAATAAAATAATAATTCTTAACTAATTAATTTGTTAAAATGTAGTTTGTGTTTGAAACTCAAGCTGATCCGAAATATTTTTTAAAAATACATTGAAAATATTTAAGAAATTAGTTAGATATCTTTTAAAAACTATTAAAAATAAGTAAAGGTATATAACTCGTCTATAACTCGCAGCTATAACTATTGTATAAGCTAAAGTATTGAAAGGAAAACATTTCTTTAACTAGTACAGTTTTCTTGAATAATTATTATTAAATTTGATGTGATGTTTAAATTAGTATGATTAATGAGTCAAATAAAAATCCTAGCGAATTCGCAATATAGAATTCGAGAAAGCAAACTTCTTTTTTTTTGTATTTTTAAACTATCCGTTATGAATGAATCACCCAACAAAGTAAAACGTACACACATTGTTGCAATAAATGATTCAACAGTGATCAGTTAAGTATAGTATAAGTACGTTATGAGCGACCTCCGACGAAAGGGCCAGGTCATTTTTCAAATTTTCGTCAAGGTCCAAGTGGTTATTATGTACATTGTACATAAAATCAATATTGTAAGTAAATTCCAAGATGACTCATATAAACAGTTTTGTTCAAATGTATTATTGTCTAACTGAAAAATATAGTTTTTACAAACTTTATTTCAGGTACAAGGCATTAGTTCTCAGCAATGGAGAGTTGAAAAATTAAATCTAAAACAAATCTTACTACCTAATTTAATATGATTTTTATGTTTTGAAATTGGATAATTTTAGATAATAAAATCCAATTATTTTTAGACAAATCAATGTACTATTATAATATTATGTGTATTTCGAGTGTCACAATATAGCATAAAATGGCAAAGATTTTTTATTTTTTTTTTGGCAATCTTTGAGTAGCTTTTGTTGTAATCAAATTAATCAACCGGTCAGTTTGAATATATCTATTGGTTACAGTCGTAGTAGTGTAACGTTATTGGACTGTTGGAAACAATATGTTATGTACATACAACAGACGCAGTACCGAACTAACTCCATTACCGCACAATTCTGAGACATTTATTTTGGCATTTGAGTGGATACTGTAGCACTTCGGTAAGTAGACCAAGTCCTTGCGAATCCTCAAGTTCGTTTAATGTCCTGTTATAATTCGTCTATCATCTTAGTGCTCGGGCTATGCCTCGGATTGAATTATATAAACTTTCGACCTTTGAAAATGTATTGGAGTTGAAGTTTAAAAGCTCTTATAGTGTTTTTAATTGTTCTTTTTTTTTATCTCACTCTCTCTTTTAATTTATAGAAAAGTTTACTACCCGTTTATGGTTTCGCACGAATTTCGGTAATTTTATTAAATCCGCTGACAGCAAACACCCGGTTTCGCTGTTATACCCTCTCCACTTTCCTCCCTTCCCGAAACATCCATCATTTATAAGTATTTTCTAAAAACATTATATTGAAATAGCATTAACTACACGGCAGTATCCACTATTCATTCGACGGAAATGATGCTGCCTTCATTTGTCATTGTCGCGTGATTCGACTCTTATTATGATACAATGATGTTGAATCATATTGAATATCTCATGAACCTCTTAATATACATAAATACTGAAAAAGTAAAACGATTTTCTTTTATGCGAAAAGGGTAATGGTTATTTAATAATAATGCGATTCATGGTTATCCTTGTAACAGTATAATACATTGGCAATAATCGGTTTTTAAATGTTTTTCGTCAAAAATATTATTTAACTACATTCTGTTCATCTCTCCCCTCGCCTATTGACTTTCAATTCAGTTATTCGAGCTGGATTGACTATGGCTCTTTTCTCTTCTCCTCTGCTTCTTTATGTCACCGGAAAAGACCTAATGCAACTTTAGCTTCCTGTCTACGATCGATTATAGGCGTTTTCCCGTCTACGCCTTGAAATTGAATGTTGCAGTCCACCCACGGAAACTAGAAAGCGCCGTTTAGCAGATAAACTTCTTTTTTTTAATTTCTCGCCTCTTTTTTTTTTTGCTCATCGCAGTGGTCAATATGAATATATTTTTGTTACCTCAAAACGTTAGTGCAACTTTCAAAATATATTTTTAATGCCAGATTACTAGATATTTGGAGAAGAAGTTATTTAGGTCTAGTTGTTAAGAATAAAGGAGAAATGTGGAAATCTTTGAAGTGAAAAATGAATGAGTCACACAATGAAGATTTAAGCAAAATGCAAAAGTAGTGGAGGAAAGGTCGAGGGCTGAAACAGGGGTATCGTAAAATCAAATTGGATTTATCCCAATGCTCTCATTTTACAATCTCATGTTACAATGGAGCCAAAATTTCGTATGGGCGATTAATTGAGAATAACTTAAGCATGGGTTTTATAGATTTAGAGAATTTCGTAACGATAAAATTTTAGATTAGTAGGTAGAAAATGTGTTGAATACGTCGAATAAGTAGTAAATGGAGTAGAAATATTTTCAAAACATCGACAAAAGAATAATGAAAAA